AATAACTAGAGATCAGTGTGCTTGACTATCGGGACTATGCACCTGATCCATCCTCGGATGGTCATCTTTACGTAAATGTTTGATCCCCCAACACTAAATCTTATTTGTAATTATTGGCGCATGCTCTCTAACCATCAAAATTAGATAACATTAGTCGGCTTAGACATGCAGAGGGTAACCAACGTTAGTGGTGGCTTCTGAGGTTGAGTGCCAATAAATGCATAAAATTGAAAATTTATTTCACAAGGTAGAGCTCAGCACGAACGCAAAGAAGTATTTTGGAAAGATTCATTTCGCTCTTCGGCACGAAGACGCAGGCCTTGCAGGGTCCTAACCCAACACAGCTGAATGATCACTCTACGAGGCGTGTTCCTCATTCAAACGCTAGAACATTTGAAGACATGTTTAACCCCTAGGTAAATCTCATTTAGAGTGCTCAGATAACGTTTGTTATCTAACTCAGGTCAGCGTACAAGTATAAAACAAACTGATGATATTAAGAATTTTTTCGTTAGGTCCGAGAAACGCAGGACTGAAGGTTACTCTCCTGAGTTTTTTTTTTAAATTCGTGTTCAAATGAAAAGAATAACTTACTTGATAGCTTTCGAAGAACCTTGCCCTGGCTTACTGCTTGGGGATGATAAAATGGAATAAGGTAACCACCACGCGTGTCACTCATCTGAACTTCGTCCGACGTTGAACAAATCGGAGGAAGGTATTCAAAAGTTTCCTCAATTGTGGCATAGTCAACCACTTTGAAAACAAGATCTGTAAAAAAGCAACTTCTATGACATAGACTGTGCATTTTACGCCTATAACTTACAACTACCATACACATAACATTGTCTGATAGAAATGCATGAAGAAGAGTTAAACAGGAAAGTAGGTGGCGCGCTAACGTAGGTGGCTTTCGTTATATTCCAGAGGTGACCAATTCCGGTCAACTACCTGAACATCTACAGCAAGGATAATACATTCAGGTGTCTAATTATATCTATGGTTATTAACTTGAATAGCGGGACCATCACAATCCACTCTATGTTTAAAGTTAACCTCGAAATAGAAAGCGAAATGGTTGTTTGATGTAGAGAGGACAGCGGTTTTTGTCAGTTTAATAGTTTACGCGGTAGATTCGCTGGATCAAGAAGGGGGTCCAGATCAGAACACGGCAGACGATATTCAGGTTGCGCTCCCATAACTAATGTTAAACATTGGGATCGGGTGGTACACGTAGGTGCAGGCTCACATTGCACCAACCAACAGCGCCCGATAATGCCCCCGGCTTTCTTGACTTTAGTAGCAAATACTCTCTGACTATGTCTCTGATGATGAATCCACGACGGATCTCAAAACGTCAGGCGAATAAAAGTATTGCCCCAGCGATCGAGTCGTCTTCTTCTTTCTTGACTTTGTCGTGACAGGTGGGTGAGAGACGGCGGATGCAGCGCAAGACAACTATCACTTACGACTAATCTACTCGCAAGCCACTGTCTCTGTACCACTCTTCTAGGCAGCACAAGGTAGACCTTGTCTAAGGCGAAGGTGGAAAGGTTGTAAACTGTCGGACAGCAGTCTGCTGCAATGCAAGATATCAGGTTCCATCTCCTGTGCAGTCGAATTGATTATTTCTTGGCAGTAGTGCAAATGCTGCGTGGTTGACATTTTACATTTGCGACAAAGCTGGCAGACCTTTGCATTTTTCATACCAGTGACTGCGACAGGCGAT